CGGTTGTGGGGCCTGAACTCTGGGCCTGGGCACTGCCCCTCAGTTCTTCAGCTCAAGGCTAGCGCTCTACCACTTGAGCCACAGTGTTTTTCTTTTTGCTTATGTGGTGCTGAGGAATCAAACCCAGGGCCTCAGGCATGCAAGGCAAGCGCTCTACCACTGAGCCAGCTTCTCAGCCCCATGTCTTTGAGCTTTTTGCTCATGTCTAGTGCTCTACTACCTGAGGCACAGCTCCATTTCTGGATTTTTGACGGGTTAATTAGAAATGAGTCTCACAGACTTCCCCGCTTAGGGTGGCTCTGAATTGCAATTCTCAGATCTCAGCCTTGAGTAACTAGGATTACAGGTATGAGCCATCACCACTCAGCTAACGAATTAAGTTTATATAAGTGAGTGGATTTCTTACAAACTGAAGAATCTAAACGTTAAGCATTCATTACTTAATGGGCTTTTATGACTAATCTTTCATTTATCACCTAAAGTACCTACCTTCGTTTACTCTACAAACTGAAACTCTCACAGTACTGTGAGTTGCCACCATGTCATGCAACATAATGTATTGCTGAAAGAAGAAAAAGAAATTAAAATTAGCCAATATCCTCATGAACTTATTCTTCAACTCATCTCCTAAGTGGCTAAAAAGAGTGCATTAATGTAAGAGTGTTAATGTAAGCACATTACTCTGCCTTAAAAAAAATGTCAAATCAAAGGTTCAAGGACTATTCACTGTTTTAGCTTCAAACAAAATAAGAAGTCAAGGGAAAACAATTGAGTTTAATATCAAACTGACCTACACAGTGAGATACAGTCTATTAAAAAAAAAAAAGCAGCACTATAAGGAGATAGTCTTGGAAAGGGGGAGGGAGGAACCAGCTTCTGACTCTAAAAAACTTGTCTACCTCCTACTCAAAAAAAAAAAAAAAAAAAAAGCAGGGTGCCTGTGGCTCAGGCCTGTAATCCTAACTACTTAGGAAGCTGAGATCTGAAGATCTTGGCTCAAAGCCAGCCAGGGCAGGAAAGTCCCATGAGATTCTTATGACACTCAAAAGTCAGATGTGGAGCTGTGGTTCAAAGGGTAGAGCACTAGCCTTGAGCAAAAGAGTTCAAGACCCATGACTGACAAGAAAGAGAGTAAGAAAGAAAAGAAGGAAGACAATTGAGAAAGAAAGAGCGAGAGATTGAGAGAAAGAATGAAAGAGAGGAAGGAAGGAAGGAAGGAAGGAAGGAAGGAAGGAAGGAAGGAAGGAAGGAAGGAAGGAAGGAAGGAGAAAGAGAGCAAGAGAGAGAAAAAGAGGGGAGGGAGGGAGAAGAAAGCCACAGTTGGACCCTAGTGGCTCATGCCTATAATCCTACTACTCAGGAGGCTAAGAGCTGAAGACTGTATTTCAAAGCTGGCAAGAAAGTCTAAGACTTTTATCTCCTATTAATCACCAAAAAGCCAGAAGAGGAGCTATGTATGGCTTAAGTGGTAGAGCAATTAAGCATCAAAGCTAAGGGACAGTGCCCAGGCCCAGAGCCCAGGCCCTGAGTTCAAGCGCCAGGGTCAGCACAAAAAAATATAGGGGCCAATGGCTTACACCTTTAACCCTAGCTATTCTGGAGGCTGACATCTGAAAATAGCAGTTCAAAGCCAGCCTCGGCAGAAAAGTCCTCCTTGAGACTCTGAGCTCTAACTAGTCAAAAAACGAGAAGTGGTGCTGTGACTCAAATGGTAGAGTGCTAGCTTTGAGCACAAACAAGTTCAGGGACAGGGCCCAGGCCATGATTCCAAGCCCCACAACTGACCAAAAAAAAAAAAAAAAAAAAGGGCCAGGCATGGTGATGCCTGCTTAGGATGCCATCTGGAGGCAAAAAAAATTAGCAAGAACCTCTATGTCGATTAATAAGTCAGGCATAATGATGCACACCTGTAATCTAGGTTACACAGGCAGTATCGGTAAGAAGGATTTCAATCTACCAGGTGCTGGTGGCTCACGCCTGTAATCCTAGCTACTCAGGAGGCTGAGATCTGAGGATCGCGGTTCAAAGCCAGCCCGGGCAGGA